TGAGATGTTGTATTACGTATTAACGAGATATTTTTGACAAATTTCAACTTGATCAGTAACGTTGATTCACTTTGGATGTATATGGAAAGTTTATATGGAAAATTTCCAACAACTAAACCCTTTGAGCATCACTTTATGTATGAGTGGTGGAAATCTTCACCGGAATTATCCCCAAAAGCCATTCGAGTGTAACAGTTAAACTACAACATAAAAGACACACATTCTAGGAAAGTTTGTCAAACTGCTAACGAACAGTGTTTTTCAACAAAACTCGACATTTCTAAAATCAACATTTTAATACTAAAAAATTGTATTATTTTTTTTTAATAATTCAGATTATCCTACGAAGATCAATGCGTAACTCTGAAAATTCAATTAATTAACTTCATAAGTATTTGGTGTATTCCGTTTTGAATTGCCGTATGTTGTGCTTTCACGGGTTAAGTTAAATATTACGCCCCCGTGATTAATTACAGAACCGTAAGGTCTAGTCCGCGGCGTTTGGCTAGCACTCGGAAAAGCTTAAACAAGCATTAAGCCTATTGTGTCTACCGGTCGTACGCACTGCACGCAGGGGTGGAAAACCCAAGTATAACATTGTGTTCATATTTCCCCTACTTGAAATTTTATTCAGTTCAGCTTCGAGTGTATGTGCCATCCATAATTGGTTGAATTAAAACTGCAACTCGAAGCCGTTTGTAAAAATTCAGGCCGATTCTGTTTATCGCAAACCACTCAATTATTGGAAAAATAAAAATTATTTACAGAATTTTATTTGATTTTAATTATAAGTTTTTTTATTAATCAATCATAAAGTATCTTTTGTGTAATTTTTTTCTTTTTTTATCAACAATTCAAAGTAATGGCTGGAAGAGGTATGACGTGAGTTTTGTTATTTTTACCACTAGACATTTCTCCTCTCCTCTTGTCTAGGTATTGAACAGTGTTAATTACTATTTCCGATACAATGGTCTAAATGTTGTTATAGGCCAGTCATTTTCTTTATTAGATCATTAATGTCTAACGAACAAGCTAGTTAATTATGAATGTTTTATTTTGCCGCCCTTATAAAATATAAAGGTTGACACGTAAAAAAAGCTATATTGATAAATTAAGAAAAACACGTGACCAAATGAAACCAATAATGAAATTCTCTATATTATTTTTATATTTCGTTTAATTAAACAGTTTACGATAACAGAATCGCGGTGTATGATCTGTAAAAGGTAAACCATATTCTATCGAGTAATACCATGTTATTGAGATCTGATAAATAAAATAATCAGAATGTCAAATGTCGATCGAAATAATGAATAACTGTTGGCCAATTATCTATTGATGCCATACAGCGTTGTCTTATTTGACGGATACCATTGAAACACAGTACGACTAATAGTTCAATTTAAGTCTTAATTGTTGAATTTTCTAACGTTTCAAACAAATATGTACAGAAAATTTATATCACATGGACTCGTGTGATATAATATATTAGTTTGCTGTCGCTCGTGTCGTCCGTTATTAACATTCATAACACGCGCCTTGGAGGGGACAGGTGGATATTTTATTATTATTTCTTTATTATACACGTATAGTAATAATAATATATAACGTAAGACGTGTGTTCAGTTGTCGTGGGCACGAGCCGATCACAGTCTAGACGAAATACCAAATAATATTACAGCCTATGCCTTGGATATCTTATGTTTGCTGGTAGTGTGTAACACGCCATAATTTGCACCTGCACAAAACACACATTACTTTGCATAAATTACACCGAGTACTAATACACGTTAAGTGTTACACCAAGTCTCTGGCTGTTTATGAATCCGCCCGTGCTGTTTTGCATGCATTTAAGGCAGAGTGATGATATCAACATTTTATTTTCGAGCTATTTGTTTTTTTTAATATATATATATATGTATGTTTAAGTCCGTGTAGTTATAAAATAAACGTTTGGAACTCTCGGAGTTTTGTATAATTTGTGTTCAGAGTAAACACATTGACCGAAAAGTAAATACACTATAAGAAAAAAAAATCTGATACGAATAAACAATAAAAAACAGAGCAAACTTTTAACCCGATTGTACTGGGATTATAATGTTTACATTGAAATGAATATAATTGTTAGTTTAACGCAGGGGATGGCAAATGTGTTTATTTTGCTTTGCTGGAAACATATAGCGAGCCACATTCGGTAGCCTTATGCAAAATAAAACGGGTTTCACAGTTTTCCGAATGCCTAATCAGCTTAAACGCGAAGGGCACCCTTGCCAAACGAAAACCCTTTGGCAGACTGAAGAGCCGATTTGATAAAAAGCTAACAAACAAACGAGCTGTCCGATTAGCGGGTGGCATATTTTCCATGTTATGCGTACTGTTGATGAACAACTGGTAGAATTGTTTTGATAGCGTCAGTTAGATTTTCATGATTAATTAAATCTATGATACATTAGAGTAAATTACTTCGAATCATTCATAATAATCAAAGTGAAATAGTAAAATAATGCAATAAATTTATCAAAAGTTCGATGATTTGGAGAGTTAATTTTATCGTGCCAATTCGAGTAGTTTACATATAATAGCAGTTTTTTCCGTTTTCAATAATGAGCAAAGATAAATAAATATTACCTTTTTTCAATAAGAACTTTACAAATTAATAGGAGGAAATTATATAACATTTGAAAATGTAGCAGGTACAGTCCCTCGCTTTGTCAAAAACAATCTTGTTCGGAGCTTACCTAGAACAGTAACTTTTTTATTGACATGGAAAATAACACCGTTTTTGGTCCATAAGTTGAAATCATTCTCGTACTCAATGTCAATAAGTAAAGAATTCTTGTTTCAGAACGATACAACTGCCGTCTGGGTTTCAATCGACATGTAGTATTGAATTACACTCGTGTAAAATAATATAATTGATTATATTCATTAACGTGCCGACACTCCAGTGAATACAACGATTTATACTAACTGTATACGGATTTTATAGCCGCGTGTTGATGTAACTTCACTAGTATGAGAAGTCTTAATGGTTAGACACGAACACAACAAACAAATCGACCTGCCTACTGACGAATGTACAACGACAACATGATTGAATTTTTTAGATAGAATCTAAACATTACGCGTTATTCATCAAATTGGAATAGATTACGGATTTGTTGAGAAACACCTAAAAGATAATTTCCTTTTAAGCTATTCTTAATCGCGATCGATATTTTGGGCAGCAACATTAACGACTGTAAGTTTTGTTTACGTGTTTCTTGTTGACAGAATAATATTTTTAAAATAGCATTCAACTAATCATCGATATTTTAATTTCTTAATTTCTGTTTTTCAAGTAATTATTTTATTTTTATGTTCAACAGTTGTTTCTCACCTCGTTTCTTTTTTCTTTTTGTTAAATTAATTTCATTGTACATAGAAAAGTATGTACAGTAACTTTTATCCAAATAAATTTTTCTTAAATAATACCCTTGAAATAATATTATTCTTTAATATAATACTTGGAATAAAATTAACCAAATCAAATTTATCAAATACTTTTTAAGTCGAGTTAGTTTTTGAGCATTATCTGAACAATTTTAACTCTTCAACTGGCTATCGAATTGAGAAAGATAAAATTAAGTCATGCAATTTATACTACGAAACTTTATTTTCGGTCCGTTAGCTATAAAAATCTGTTTTTAAATTACTAAGTTGAAATTAAATAAAATTTGAAGTGTTCAGTTGAAAAACCATTAAAAGTGTCATTACATAAACTTTACAGATAGAATATTAAAATATTCACGTGTAATTTGTAATAATTTTATAACGGAAATAACAAAAAATTGATTTAAAAAGCGTTAAAAAAAACAGAATCTTATTATTTTTAATGACATCCAATAATGTTTAATGTGTTTGCTTCGCTATGTGTCCTTTAATAGTATTTTTAAGATTATAATCAATAATCTATGACCATTTTGACTTTTTTGTTATGTAATCGGCGGCAAATTAAGAAGTCCTTATTAGTAAAGTTTTCTCTTCGATTGGTCATACAACTTTAAACTATACTCTGTTATAGTTTGTACTTGTCAAAGGGATGACGAAAATAATATTAAAAACTGTCAACCATTGATAAGATAAATGATAGCAGCGAATTATTAGACTACACAAACATGCATAAATCTATAAATGAATCTTTTATATGATTATCATAGAAAACATGTGTATACATATTTGTATACTTAGACCTATACGGGTCTAATAAAAGAAATTTTATTCAGTTGAAGAGTCAGCTGTTTTAAACAAAACCAATCATTTAATCAGTTGTTTGTTTCCTAACAAACATTTTGTATTATTTAATAAACGTCCAAATTTTGTATTTATATAATAAAAATTGATCACTTGTGGCTAATTAATTAAGTAAAATTAAAACTATATTAAAAATATTATTAATTTAAAAAAAAAAAACTAAAAAATATTAAAAATATTAAATATTCCGCGACTTTTCATTAATTTTTTTTGTGGCTTTTGAGTTTAATATTTTTAATATTTTTTAGTTTTTTTTTTTAAATTAATAATATTTTTAATATAGTTTTAATTTTACTTAATTTTGTATTTATGTTTGATAAAAATACAATCATTATTTATACACATGTATGGCTTTATTTCTAAATTTACTGGCAAGTTTCGATGAACCAAAAACTCAACACGTTAATCGTTAGAGATACTACCTCGTATTAAACGCATGTGTGCGGCTTGAGCGTACGCACAATCGATTCGGAACGAGTTACGGCGGCGCGGTAGATGCGGCGGCGACAAACGTATGAAATAGCCGTGGCGGCGACAGAGAAAGAACAGTGCCGTTGGATGTACGGAAGGGGCCGCAAACGTCATTCGGAGGGAGTAAAAGAGGCGTGGTCCATTTCTCCTTCGCACTCCTCCCTTTCCTACCGGCCGTAGCGACAGGCGTGCAGCATCATCTCTCGGCTGCCGCTGCTATAATAATATTTCACGTGCTATACATACAACGCTAGGCGGCATGCAGCGTTTTTTCCCTTATTTCTTTTTGTGCACACCCACCCGCGCAACCGCCGCTTAGCGTACACCGTTTTCGCCACCGCCTCGTTTTATTTTACACCGTGCGCGTTTGCGAGTGTATGCGTGCGTTTAGCGTGCAACGCTGTCGCGGTTTCGGGACGCCGCTGCCGTCACCGCCGGAGTTACGTACCTCACGAATTTTCGATTTATTGTTATTGCAGTTCGAGTGTGTTATCGTTTTTCGCGAGAGGTGGCCGCCGTCAATGATCATCACCTAATACTCATCTTAAACTACTCGACTACTCAAGTTCAGAGTCTCTGGTATCAAAAGGACACAGTGGTAAGACATTGCTGTGCATTTCTATGCGCCAGTTGGATATTAGTCATCGTTGAAATAATTCGGAGTTATTTTTATTTTGAGAGCAATTATAGTAACATTAGTAAATAAAATCCAACTGAGTTTTTAGGATAGATAAATTTTCGACGGATAATAGGAAATCATTTTGATTGACACAATGAATATTTACCAAAACGTTTTGCCTGTAATTTCAAAAAATGATTTGACAAGCCGAAAAAGTAAGTCGTATAATGAATAATTATAATTATTCATTATAAAACTTACAGGTTAACATATACACATAATGGTTTTATTGGAAATTATCGATATTAAATACCGTTTGAAAAAATAACTCGATGACAATGAACATTTCTTAAATTTCAATAACTAATACAACAAGCTCCCATACTTTGTAAATTACTCTTTTGGTGTTACTTTTTATAATACACTTGACAAACAACAATAGAACTTATTGTTGTCTGCAGTATTTTAGAGTACATAAATATCAGACCAATTACTTGTTACACGATTCTTTTGAATCTTTCAAAAAATAATAATAATATTGAATAATAAACAGTGTTTTATCAAATATGAGCTATTATTTTATCTAATTGTGTAAAAAGTTTTTTTCAAACCTCCAAGATGGTTTTATATGTTAATAAGTATGCAACAAAAATGAAAAAAATAGAGATGTTTTAGTTTACATTTTGCAAAAAATTATTGCACAACAATTTTAAGATAACGGTAAATGTACAATTATTTGTTAAACAATATTAAGTTGTCTTTAATTAGATTGATGATAAAATCAAATTAATAATGTTATGTATTATATGTGTATTTTCTAATGTTTTGCTAAGATATGAAATCAATTTTCTATGATTTAAAAAAAAAAAAAAACTTTTTTGGAAAACATTAGTATCCTCTCGATAGTTTAAAAATTTGTTTTTTGATTTTACAAATCATTATTTGAACTATTGTTTTTCTACAATCCCAATTCTACACTCATGTTGAAGTAGTTTTTAATACACCCTTGCAGCATTTAATGTTTAATTAAATTTGATAATTTATGAGTCATACATTTGATTAAATTTTTAAAAATATTTTCTATATATTTTCTATATATTTTCAAGCGATTAAAAATGATTTGATAAATGATTATTTATTTAACATACTGTTGTAATAATGCAGTATAAGAAATAGTATAAGTAATGTAAATTTGCGGGGCTTCTTGATCTAAATAATAGTTGACAATAAAAAAAAAATGAGTTATGGCATATACATCACTTGTAAATGTGTGTCAAATAATTTCTATTTTTTAAATATTCATCAACGATGTTCAGTTATAAAAATGAATGAATTGCATATTTTTCATTGTACACTATTATATAATAACTATCCTAATTTATATAGAATAAAGATAAATCAAAATACATCAGTTTTTTCATTCCTATAAAATTCTATCATATTTTGTTTTTGAACTCTTGAAAAATCGTATCGAATTCATCGCATTAAAATTTTTAATATAAAATATGCCAATGGGCTTTAAAAATATGATTTATTCAGATATGTTCTATGGACTGTACCATTAACCTGGACATCTTATATGTTCTGACATAATAATCATATACAAGTTAATTAACGGTATGGTATATTTTGCATAATTTTTTTTTCAGAAATATTCTACTGTACCTTTTACCCTTTGCGCGTGTTAATTATAGTAAATAAATAAGTAAATGAATAATTACACTCGTAAAAATTGAATTTCCGTTAGAATGAACAATAGCATTATTTATTTAATTTTTATAATACTTAGGTTCTCCAGAAATAAAGGGAACGTTGACTTGTGTGCGTTAATTGAAGCATTTACAGTTAAATTTAATTATATTGATGATATTTTTAGTGATCGAAGGGTGGAAAATTGTGGTTGATCAAATGAAAAATATGAATCGTTATGTGTGTATTATTATTTATTTTCACCAAAATCATAAGAAAAATCCGAATTCACTATAAATAAATACTGAAGTACAACGATTTGTCAATGTGAAAGGAATTTTTTTAACAAGCGGATGCGATGTGTACAAGAGATATGCATAAAGAAAAATAGGCTGGAAATACATTTACAGTGCGCACGCTAATTGGTTGCCCGAGACTATTTCTAAAGTTATAAGTGCGGAAAGGAAGGGAAAAGTATACGCTGGAAGATGGTATTCTCAAACGCGCATGGAGATAGCCATCGTTCGTGAAACCTTTTGCCGATAACAACAATAATCTTTGCCATAAAGATTTCTTATATGGAAACTGTGGACATATATTTTTATTAGGAAAAATTCTAACGTGGTAATTTTTTTTTTTTTTTGATATAAAAACTTGACGTTTTTCCGTTCGGTACAAGTATAATTTATATGATTATAAACAATATTAGACCGGTCATAAGATGTGTGACGGACTAAAAATAATCATAGCTTATATACACAGGTTATGAATAAAAATAGTGAGATGGTGTTTTACTTGAAAATTTTACGGACTGGTAGTTCATTAAGATTGAAAAAACATTGTGGCAGTAATGATTACAATACATCACATTTTCTTAGAATGTGTATAAAAATGATCAAAAGATACAATAGGCAATAATATATTTTTTTAAGAAACAGAGAAAAAATAATAAATTATCGTTTAAGAAACATAATTTAAATTAGATAAATAAATCAAACAGCGTGTATTTGATGTATATTTTCAAAAATTACTCATAAACGTAATTACCAAAAAAGTGATATTGGAATTAAGCGGATTTAAACACTGACCAGCATTAAATATTACAATAAATGAAATAATTTCCAGTAAAATGTAACAGCCTAAACGGTCCATAGAAAATCGGTCGAAATGTTGATAAAAATCTAAAACTACTTTTTCGTTTTCGTTAATTAACATACCACGACACATAAAAGAGTCGTGTATTGTTCAACTCGAAATACCAGATAAATCTTTTGTTGGTTTTGAAGATTACGTTATTCTTTGATATTTATTTTGGATTCGACCTTCTATGGTAGCCGCTGCTAATCGTTGCAATCAGTAGAGGAACAGCCCGCCGGCGACGAAACAAGTTTTCTACAATCATTTTGTATGCTTTTTGAGTAGTTAGAGGATAACGTACAATAATTTTTTTTCATTTAATTGAAACGACGTGCAATTATTGATTCTGGTAAATCGCGTGCTCGTGGCTTCTGGTTAACTAGCGACCAGTAAACGTTGATATACGTTTATGAATCAGTTCTTTAAAAAACAACTTGGATCAATCAATTTGAAAAAAAAAATCTATGACAAATTATTGCAATCAGCTTTGCGTCTTAATAAATTATCGTTTTCTAATTATATTACAATCAATGACGATGAAAAAAGATTCGAAAAAATATCAAACAACTTAAACTCATTAATAAAGTGCATAGATAATAAATGTACCGGTAATATTTTTTGTTAAGTAAATATCACTACCATAATTTAATCGATTCACTGTGTTTATAAATGCAAAATTGTACACGTTTTATTTATACAATAATTATACGAATGAAACTTGCAACTTTAATATTCTACAAGTAACTGGTAAGTAATTATTACATATGAGTTTCTCGTAGAATATTGAAAAAATAAAATTACATTAATGCGGCGGAGTTTATTCAAATCGAAGCCGAGATTCGTGTTTTTATTGTAGTTAATTTATTGAAAAACGGTTGTTCGACGACACACCGAGTAAATAATTCGCGTTATTTATACGAAATAGACACGAGTTTTGCCCAAAGGATTATCGATTTTTCCAATAGAACACAATATGATATACTTCTACCAGAAGTCGTGGCCATTTTAGTGACCAAACACAAAACAAAAAGGTGAGCGGTGGCTTGGACATGAAAAAAAATTTAACTACACCTTTTTCGACCGGCTCAACAACTGCCCAATAGTTGCCTAATTCTTTTGTTTTGTTATTTCGAACGCAATAAATAAAATACAATTGGGTTTTATTGGTACATGGAAGTGTATAGTACAAAAACGAACACGCCGTACAAGAGAGCCGTTTTCTGTGGATGAGTTCACTGTTAGCCATCGAATTTTCCAAATAAGTCGAAACCGGTCGCTGTGAGGAATCCAGACCGCAATGCCCGTCCGTTCGCATACACAACAATGACTTTTATTGGCCAAGACAGGTTCTGTGCGAGTGTATTGTACGCCATCGAACGGCCGTCGTTTCAGTTAAAGTTTTTTTCCCCGTAAATAGATATTCTCATGTGGAATAATATATTACGAGCACAGCCGGTGGGTATATGACAAAAACAAGCCGCTCCGCTGTCGCGGGTAAAAATCGCACAACAGAAAAAGGATTTCCAGTGAACGAGGAAAAGGATATTTGCGTGGGAGGAGTAGTGGAGACCAGGCCTACGACAACGGTACACGAGATTAAAGCGGGCCCGTGTAATGCAAATGCATTGCACGTTGAAAGAACCGCCTTAGGGTTCGATATTGTTTTTTATTCGTGGACTTAATTTCGATTACTATTGATACTTGGTTCCAAAAAGGCGCGTGTCGTTCAATTATAATCTATGTAATTTAATTTATGCTGTTTATTTTTTACGCGTCGGACTGTGTCTGCGCTTGAATTCAGGCCTATTAAAAATAAATAAAAATTATGTACGTAGTTTTTAATTTGTATGTATGCAAATAAATATTAAATAGAACAGTAATTAGCTATAAATACAGTGTTTGCTGTCAGTGTATAAACTTCTGTAATTAATTACGGTATCATACACTTAACACGCGGTAGTATAATGAAGCTCGTGAACGATGTTCGTACCAAGTTGTTGAGGATTTAAGTGTTATTCCGGGAAGGGGATAATATTGGTAATTAGACGATTCTATTAGTTTAAACTGGTTATTTCAGAATTTGTGGGTTCAATACTCAATGCGGTTTCAATTCGAAATTTGACGCTATAATAGGACTATAAAAATATGTGTCATTTTTTTATTTTCACTGGTTTACTAATGTAACTCGTATTTACTCAAATTAGGTACAGATTTTATGTTTGTTACCGTATCACGCGAATTACAGCAATTAAAGTTGCTTGAGTTGAGTAAATATTGAAGAAACATCGTACGTCTATAACTCAAAACTGGATGATATAAAGATAATTGTTTTTGAGTTGTTATCATGACACAAATAATATCTGGCTTTACACCAACTAATGTTTTTGATATTGTCATATTAAAATAATTTTATTTCGTCAGTCTTGTTTTGAGAAACAAAAAACAATAAACTTAGAATATAAACATTTTAAAATAGTTTTTAACTGAATTGTCCAATATTTTTGTTTATGGTGTTTCAACATCGTGTCACAAGAGTTAAGGGGATATCAGGGTGTCCTATCAGGTTTGACATCTTTAATAACTTTTGATCCAGCGAATTTTTCGGGTAACTAATTTTTACAACAAAAACACATTTTTTTGTTATTTGTTTCATATAATAATAAAAAGAAAATTAATTTTAAATTTCAAAATAGCCACATTTTAGCTCTGTTCTTACAAAAAAATGTTGTTAGGTCGATAATCTTAGGATAAGTATTTGTTGAGTTATAAGCATATATACATAGATGTAGTGCATGGGGTACAATTCGTACTGATGTACTCCGTCCGCCATATCTACCCACTTTATGCATTAAAATACTTGTATCTCAATGAGAGTACTAAATTTGTTATGACCCATAAAATTTTTTTGTAAGAAATGTGCAAAATAATGGCTATATTGAAATGTTGAATAAATTACAAAATAAAAATTATTTTTTAATTATAAAAAATGTGTTTTTGACGTGGTCCAAAACTGTAAAAATCATTAATGAAAAATATTCGCTGGATCAAAAGTTATTAAAAAAGTCAAAACTTTGTGGAACACCTGTATACCATACGTCAAACTCACGATAATGTACTTGTCGATTGTAAGTAATATGTCGATGACTCATTAAAAAAATTAGTTGGATAACAATGAATTCGCTTGGATTTCAAGTATTGGAAATTCTTTTGACATTACCCGATTGGCAAAATAGAAAACACGTCACCGTCAATATAAGTAAAAAGAAAAGAATACGTTTCATCTTTTTATCAAGCTTGACGTTTTTTTATTTATTACATTTGGTATCTTTATTATTATACCGTTTCGTGAGACACGGGCACCATTAACGATGTTATTTATAGTCGGTGGCGTTGATTTAAAAAAACCAACAGGTTCTTTACTTTGTCATGGCGAGAAATAAGAGGGGAACCGAAACACATATAATGTCAAATTACCGAATCATAACGCCCTGTACGACAAAGGGGAGAGTGGTTGTCAGTAATTATAATATTATATCTCTTTACCTATTTGCTTTTTACTAACGTTGTGATTTTTTTACTCTCTGCGTGAAATGATACGTGTAATTAGAGGGACTTGTCTTTTCTGACAATTGTTTTTTTATTTCTTGAACCTTAGCCAAAACACACTCTGGTACAAAGCTGAAAGAGCGAATGATTTTTTACTGTTCTTCTGAAGATTTAAGTTAAATAGACCGACACTATGAGGTTTTTTAATTAAAAGCGAAGAGAAAAGTCTGGTTAAATATAATTGAATAACATTCCATTAATCTAATGTGTTAAGAACTGTATTGTAACAGTATAATTATTATTTATTCATTTGAGTCGAGCAAATCGTAAAGTATAAATTTTTAAATATAAATATTGCATCTTGCACTCAAAAGTATTGCACATAGACATATTTTGCACTGAATAATTAGTAAGAAAAAACAAGCTCCATTAAATTTGGACCCGAGCCATAATAACAGCAATATGTTATACATCAATTACATTAGTGTACGCATTATGTCGTTATGCTTTCGATCCTCTATATTGGTTTATGTAAAAATTATAAATTAAAATAAGTGATCTCATTTAATTAGTATATTTAAAATTGTGTAGGATATACTGGTAAAACAAATAAATAAATTTTGTCGAAATGGATTTTATTCTCTCTGACCAGTTTTGCACGAAAACTTCATATCACAAATCGATACACTAACAAATTGTTTATTTTTTAGGATATAATATGTAGACTGATATGCTGAAAGAAATTCGTAGTCCAGGATTGGTGGCCGATCCCGAGCACGGCAGCAACTGTGTTTGTTGCGCTGGTTGCGGTAGATCCATTGACGATCGGTTCTATCTCTCTGCCGTAGATATGTGCTGGCACATGGGATGCTTGCAATGTGCCGAGTGCAAGATACCACTAGACACCGAGCTGACATGCTATTCTAGACATGGCAACATATATTGCAAACAGGACTACTTCAGGTATAGATTTTTAGTGAATAGTTGTAACAGCATTGCGCATTGTATCGATTAAATTATAACGAAATATGTATTCCGCCGGCTCATCATTGGAGGGAGTGACATGCCGCTAGTTTCCTTTGGACATCGATGTAATAGCTGGCGGTAGTCAAAAAAACAAAAATATTTAGTTGGATAATAAGTGAGGTAGGCTTTGTATGAAAACACACGCAAGGCGATAAACTACGATAAAAATAACCGTTTCTTAACCGATTTTAAGTATACCAATACGACTACTGAACACTGGATAATAATAGTAATTAAAAAGCGAAGGATCTCGGCATTGTTCGGAAGCGCTACTCAAACACCCTAATTTACCACGACCGGGTTCCGGTTGGGTACTATGTGGTTGTGTGCACAGAGAATCCGGCAATTATAGTACTACATCCCGCGATGAGAATGTGAAATAAACGCTGGAAAATATTCAATTTAAGATTACTAAAAGAGTATAATTATACTGTACCCGCTCACCGGTATCAGTTACTCCAACTGATGTACACAACATTTCAAAATAACGCGAATTCGATTATTTTAAATGAACACTGTATTACGAATTAATCGAGTGGTCGTACAGAACGAATTGGGCTTAACGTCGTAATCGGATTTTGGATCCTTCAGCCAAGTCTTGAGCACGTGCACGAGCTTAACGAGTCGATAGCATTGAAGGATCACCACGTCGCGTGTCTTGGTCTTTTTCGAACAATTAATGAACGCCCATTGAACCATGTTTATGGTACTACTGTGTTGCTCCTGCAGTATTAGATATACTGTGTTCACCATGTAATGACCTTAATTGTGTAACGTTGTCTATGATGACAAAAGTATTATACAAAAGCGGTTCTGATGTACTGGCAACATGGTCGTTGGTGACCCAAAGCTAGGCGGCGGTTAAGAGAATACAATAGTTGGATGCACGTGCATACATTTGTGCTGCGGTCCATTGTAGTTTATGGTGCGATACTTATAATCCTATAACATGGTCGAGCACGCGTCACTCGTGTACCTGCCTAGCTAACGATGGCTCCTACGACGGTGGAAGAAGGGGTGGTGCAGAGTGCACCTGGGTACGTGGCTGTCGTCGGGCCACGTGTCCGAGAGCTCATTGTTGTTTCAAAGATCAATCCCACAATGACGGGTTAATACCAACTGTGGTTATGCCAGGTGCCCAATGATCGGTCACCCGTGTTCTGTCAAAGAACGATATTGGTCGGATAATCTCCGGAAACTATAGGAGTACTTTATATGCATGTCCGTAGACAGATTCAGAAATTGGGTGTTATTCAACGCAAAATGAGTGTTTAGTATCGGTGACAATGCAATATCTGGAAAACGTAAAATTAAAAATCTATACTATTTCACTTGTTGCATCACGTCAAGAACGTTATCTAAACGCGTTATTTTGTAATGATTTAAAATGTTGTTTTGTATTACTGAGACTCAAAGAAATCGTGTGCTTTAAATTAAAATGTTCATTACCGTTTCAATTATTGTATTTAATAACAATACATATTTGAAAGATAACTCTATATATATTTCACAGTGACTTACGTGAATTTGTTGTTATTTTTACAGGTTATTTTCAATTAAACGTTGTGCACGATGTCAAGGAGGCATCAGTGCCTGTGATCTAGTAATGCGTGCTCGGGATCTCGTTTATCATGTCGAATGTTTTGCATGTTATGCGTGTGGGGCTGTTCTGTGCAAGGGTGACTACTACGGAATACGGGATGGAGCTGTTTATTGTCGACTAGACTATGAGCGATTAAAACACAGAGACATGTGTGAGTTAGAACCTATGTGTAGCCCCCCAAGGGCTGCTGGTCACCATTGGCCACCTGCTCATAAAGGAAGGCCTAGGAAAAAAAGAAACGTTCAATTATCGCCAATAACGTCCGAGTGCAATGGTCTCACTGAACTCAATGTCCTCAGACTCCCACAATCAACTCTAGGTAGGCGATAAATATTTAATTAACCTAAAAAATCGATTCATCTTATACCGAAATGTACCTTTTTGAACGTCCTGCGTTACCGGACTATTGGACATTTCACATTTTTAATTTTAACTTTCAAAAAATAACGCAATTAGTTAAGAAACAAAAACATAGACCTTCTTTTTGCATTGTAAAAGATAAAAAACATAAATAATATTGAAATGCTAATAAACTTGAAAATTGTTTAATAAAAAATGGGTCAATTGTTACTTTAATAAATCTTGACGCTGTGTTACAAATGTTTCGCGATATTCAAATGCACATAAAAATTGTAAATTTATCGATAAATTAATAATTTATTTTATTTTATATTTTGAGTAGTTTACAATATTATTTAACATAAAAACTAATGAGTTTTAATTTAATGTTATAAACCTCTTGTTATTTTTAAAATAAAATCATTTATTTATTTTTCTCAGAAACAACTTTTTGACAAGTTTTGTATACGCAGTCAAATATTTAAAATTTAACTGAACGATACATTTTTAACAAGTGTTTTTTTTTGGGTAGATATTTACTCTTTAACGCGATAAAATTGGAATATAACGAACAAGTTAAACACCTAAAATATAAAACCATAGTGAAATTAACATTAACATATCATAATCGTATGGATTTTTTGAAACTTAAATATGTTAATATATTTAAAGAAGAAGTCGACACTGCCTCCGTCGAACTCTTTTTGAGATTCGGTCTCGCGATACACAAAAAATATTCACATTATTAAAAAGACGCGCGGACTTTGGAAACATTTACTTAGAATTATTCGGCCTAATAATTGAATGTTAAGTGGTAATTGGTTAGCCTGCGGGGCATCGCGTCTGAGTGTAAAGAAAAATCACTGCGTCCGACGCAATTTGTTGGCTCTGCGACAAACGACTAATTGAAAATCACCTCGTCCATCGTTGGCGTCGTGTCCGCATATTGGAAGTAATGGCTAAACGAAACGTTAAATAATTATAATATTTGTTCGCTAAAAAAAATAATAAATACATCTATCTCTTTCTTGCGGTACGTGCACACGGACACTGTGGCCGTCACGTGTAATAAATCACAGAGGACGAGCGTTGGGAACAATAATTTAACGCTCCGAAACTAGTATGCCTGTAACTGGGATATCGTGTGACGTTGGGTGGCGATAAATGCCCACACGAAGTCGTACATAGCGCGACGCTTACGCGAGATTTAAAGAGAGGAGTTTGGTTTTTTTTTTTTTCATGCACTAAACGAAGGTAAAAAACACACTCGCCAGTGGCTAAGATACAAACCGTGTCGCCGCTACTCCGGCAGACACACGATTTATATGCGCGCACCACAACACACACACACAGTTTCTTTAATCTTCATTCTGTACATGTATAAAACTCAAATGAGTATACGAGTGTCATGTATGGAATAACTCCAACGGAATAAAATGTATATTTTCTACGTTTGTGTGGTGTTGTCGCGCCTCTAATTGGACGGCCGGGCACACCCGCGCGGCACGGCCACCCAGAGACCGTCGGACGCAGGCAGCCGGGTCGATTATCACCGGTAGCCGCCACCGCCACCCCTTCGTACGGCGTCCATCAATATTATCATCTCACTCGGAACCCGGTGAGATTTATGCGTTCCGTGTACACTGCCGGTGCGTTATCATCCCCTCGACCGCAATGTATGCTCAGTAATAATTATTACTGCTACCAGTTTCACTTGTCTCAATCGTTGACCCTTTTGGATTTTAGGGCCAATTAAAAATATCAACGTTCGATCCACTGGGTACGTACGCATATTTTTATGGTTTTTAGTACCTTACCGCAGTTAGATCGGAACCCGTGTATTGGACTACTACGGGTACACAATGTTTTATTTGATCGATAATGAGCACACCCGAACCTACTCGATACCATAAGAGCTGACCGAAATCGTCGATCGAAATCATGATTTTCTCACACGCCAAGTCAAACGGAACGCAATAAATTATTCCACATACGCATTATCGCGGAAGGCAATCCGTTTTTTTCTATGTAGAAACGTTAATAAACAACGTTGATACGAAAAATTTACATTGATGGGGCAATTGGAAAAAATACGGGGAGGTCCGCTGTTTCGTTTTACATTCAACGTATACAAATAGCCAACGTAAAAAACTTTCATACGCATATTCTTGTAACAACAGTTGTCGTGAAATACTCGAGTTTTCGTATATACAATTTTTTATGTGCCAACATTTTCATTTCTGTTAGATTTTTGTCAAGTTGTTGACAAAATTGAATTTTAAATAGGCATTATACTAAAAGTGACAGTTGGCGATTTTAAGTGATTCCAGTTGAAATACTCTGTACTTAATAATGTTTTAGATAAAAGCTTATGGCCTATAAATGTAAGGCATCATCAATTTACGAACACACATATTTTATGACTAGTAAAATAAACAATAAAATACATTCGCTATTAAAAAGGTGTGTAAATACCGAGGAATGCTAATGATTCTAAAAAAAAAATATGAATTTGTAGACACTCGCTAAACTTTTACACAAATATGTAACTTAAAACAGGTGCTTACGAAAAAGTCAAATTACCACCCAAGAGTGTTAAAGGCAATTCTATTTGAATAAATCTAATTCTTTTTACGACACTGGCGTGCGTACAAAACAGTTTTTAACACTGTTACATGACAAAGCGCAACAATAGAGACCAGACATATAAATTATATACAGGCGAAAGTGCTGTCGAGCGAAGGGAGCTGTCAACAATGAGCCAAAGAAGTTGAAAATTGAAATGTACAAAAAACACCTTCAAACGATTTCTATTTCTGTTTTCGAGGGCAGATATAACGAGATGTCATTGAATGCGAATATTTTTTTTGTGTACACCTTTCCGATCCCCTTAATATTTTTCTAGCATTCAATGTGTCGATCACAGTAGCCCATGCAGGCCCATTAACCCCAACCGTGTGTTTATACCGTCGCCGAACAAATGTTTTCTTTCCCAAGCACACTTCTGAACCACTGGCATTGTTTACTTTGGATTATACCGAACATAACTACAACTAAACACCCAGTGGCTGTGTGTGAGCTACCTGTCCGTCACTCGACACACAAACTATACGTATAAATGTTTTTCTCTCCCTAGTAACTAGTGTAATATGTATAATATATGTTATGTACATGCACTTGTACGGCGAACGCTACGTTTTGTTGTAAAAAGAAACGGGAAAACTTCAACGGGCAAGATACTTATAAACTAAACGAACATAATATTTTTATACATTCTGCAAACAATAGTCGCCCCCGTGCCATCCAGATGTCGATACTCGCTTTCGTGCTATAGCAGGCGAAATAAAAAAATGCCGTTGAGTACATTATGTATATTAGACCATGTGCGTTTAAATGACGTTTCCTGTGAAGTACAAGTGACCATATGAGGGAAAAATTAGTTTCATACTCGTGAATACACTAGATCAAAACTGTCTCTAGTGGATTATAAAGTATAATATTATTTGGGAAAAATTAATAGCGTAGGCACATTAGGGGGTTCTCATTTTTTGGCGATATCAACAGAACTTAATACCTGTACCATTATGATTTTTGTATAATGTCAAATTAAAAAACATGAAAATGTTTAAATTTTGATTTTTTTTGGACGAATTAGCTTATAAATAAATGGAAAAAAGCTTAATTATAAAAAATTCCATTTGACATCCGTCTTTTAGTAGCTGGGCGATTCAACTATTTTCTCAATATTTTAAAACGTTATGGTATTAAAAAGTAATGTATTTCATGTATTATGTATTCGTCAAAATCAAATTACACAATTTAATCATCATTACTTAACATGGGCAAATTTTAATTACATGAAATCGCGATTTTGATACAAAATATATTCGTGCTAAAGGTGTTTTCATTTTGAAATGTCATGTTAATATTATTACATCTTAATATATACAGGATATCCGGCTGATTTTTGCATACTAAATTAAGAAATGTAAATGTTTGTAGTTCATGTACAATATACAAATTAAATTAATTAATAGATGTTATCTGACGTATAGACGCGAATAACAATGACAATAATCTGAGCTCGACGCAGATAGTACATAATTACTCCCTCCAATCACTTTGCATACATAGTTTTAAAGAAACCGGTCATATATCTGACTGTAATCGACAACTACTTATCGATTGTATTTGTAATCTCATGTTTTGTATTCTTATTGCAGAAGTCATGCAAGCGACAGATCTGTCGTCTTCGATGGAGTCGTTGACATACGAGACGTCGAGTTTGTCATCGCCCACCAACTCATCGACAGTCAGTGGAATGACACAACAACAGCAACAGCAAGCACGGACGAAGCGTATGCGAACATCATTCAAACATCACCAGCTGCGAACTATGAAGTCATATTTTAATATTAATCAAAACCCAGACGCCAAAGATCTGAAACAACTAGCTCAGAAGACTGGCCTCTCCAAACGAGTCTTGCAGGTAAAAAAAATCGAATTTAATAGGTAGATGTAAAATAAATTTCTGTTTATTGCAAAACAATTAATGATCTTTCTTAAATTATCAAACATTGTAAATATAAATACAACAAGAAATAAAACGTTTTCTTTTATAGGTTTGGTTCCAAAATGCTCGAGCAAAATGGCGAAGAAATATAATGCGACAGGAAAACAACCAGTTGGTGGCTAGTTCAATTTCAGGACAAAACCCAACAACACCATCAGATCCTGACCTCATTCGTGGGCATACGCAGGGAACTCAAGGTCTAAACTTTGTTGACTTGTTCTAGACTGGGTTCATTTACATCATTACTCAAAAATAATGATCAAATTGAAGTATTGTGTTAGTTTAATATTGAAAAAAAATAATGAAACTATATTTTAATGTTCCTTAATCGAAACAAATACTTCTTCGCATATTATGTACATAGAATTATTATTACATTATGGACTATGTACGAAATAATTATATTGTAACTTTATATTGAACTTGTATGTAACTCATGTTTAAATGATATGATTTGAGTTTGTTGTTATCTTTGTAGCTTTATAAATAGCTTTTATGGTGTTATTTCAGCAAACTGCAAGAAAAACTGTATTCATCCTCTAGATCCTTACGTTTTATGAAAATTCAAAAGTAATATAACGATTGAACCTAAAATAAATACCACTATAATGTTTTTATTAAATTCATTTTATATAAAATATTTCAAAAGCAATTCTTAATCTTGCTCAATAACTTCATATCTAAATATGTATGTAACATTTGTGTAACAATTAATAACAATATTATCAACTCTTTAAATTGTTTTATTGCCAAAAGGAACAATAAATTACTAACCATTACTTATTCTGTTATCCTTGGGTATTTTTGATTGACATATATTGATTTTGTGCTATCAATAAGATACCATAAAAAGAAACCCCTAATGTTAAAATATTTTTTTATTGTAGTCATTACAACAAGTATTATTGTTTACAAAGTTATCCATCTACGTTTAACACGTATGCTATAATTTATCGAAAATTGATCTTGTAACATTCTAGTCAAGTTATTATTGTTTAAACTTACTACATTTAGTTTGTATTATCACTTTGAAAAAAAAACTATTGTGTACCTATTAGTAGCTATAAAAATAAGTATAGATTTAATATTTGTTTTTTTTTTTTTGATATCTTAATTCATGATTTTTGTAAAAAAATGATGATATTAATGCAGACGAATTTCTTTGTTAAAAGTATAAAAAAAAATTCTTATGCGTATACAAGTGTTATAAAACATAATATATTGTTTATAATTATTATTATTATTTATTGTCTTGTTTAACTATATATTTTTTTCATTGATACTGTGAAAAACAAAGTATAATAAAATTATAAATTCAAACTGAGTTTCACAAAAATGAAGTTAAGTTTTTTTTTTAATCGAACAATTAATATAAATACAAATTAATTACCGTTTACTTCCATATAGTGTAGTGTATTCAGAGAATGTAGTAATTCTATAAAATCAGATTATTAGGCTGAATTGCCAGGTCCGTGTGTAGTGTTGCTGTAAAATCCTCGTCCTCTTCCATCGTAACACTCTATATTATAATGATTTTGTTCATTGTGTAATACAATGAGATTCAAGTGGTGACTGCATTGCAAGAGAGTACTGCGTTGTACGAGACGTACGTGATTTTCCGTGTGAACCCTTTTGGACCACGACCGGTACGTGCGAAGGTGTTGCAAAAAATCCTTATCAGATTCCCAACTATTTCATTATGAAGCTCCTCTGTCTAGTCGATAGTGTTTAAATCATGCACACACAAACAAAACCCATGTCCAAGGGTTCTTCAATGAAATGATAACAATAATTATAAGACTGCGATCTCAAGAATATCACATTCTTTACTGGAGCCAAGTACAGGCTAGAAAATCTAGATGCATTAACACTTTTCGTGGGAAATATCTTTCGACGTGAACGATATAAAAGAAACTCATTTAATAGAACACTTAATTATATGTTAATCCTATCGAATAATACTTTTCAGAAAGCGAATCATTTGTTGAAAACAACGTAATTGTTCATATAAGTTTAAATAAACAAATGATTAAAAATTTAGGATTATTACATCATAAAATTTATGATAACGTATTCACTATTCATAAAATGTTCACGGTTTCTTAGATTCTACTAATTTCTATGGCTTCTCGGTTTTATGTACTTCTATGGCGTCATAAGTTTTTACATTTTTATGGCTTCTTTAAGTTTTAGTTTTTATAATTCTATGGTTTCATAAATTTTATGCATTTCTATAGTTTCCAAAACTTTTAATGTGATCAAAAAATGAAATGTTTTATAATGATTATTTAGGTTTTCATAAACATTTATCAGAAAAATACGCTATAAAATTTAAACTTTTCTTTTATGACATTTAAAAATTCGTATTAGAACCGTTTAATCCCAAAGCATAATTTTACGAATGAATACTGAAATATATACATTAATGAAATACATTAAATATAAGCCAGTAGCACCAAATATTTTATAAATTAATTTTTCATTACAATAACTGTTGTTTAAATGATTCAAAAATACTTGTATCATTCTCGATTTTTTGTGAAAATTTTACATTGTAAATTGGACCCGCTCAGGTTACAAATTAAAATATTATTTGGTTAAATTACCTAGTTTTTTTTTTTATTTAAACTAATACATTATATTTGGTAGGAGGCCATATAATAATATAACAAAAGTTAATCATTAACAGTGAGAGATAAGAAAAAAGCTAGATTTAATGTTTAACATAAGAATATATTTTTTAAAAATTAAACATAAATGACATTGTCATAATGTGACAGTGAGTCTTCATAACATAATTACGTAACTTAACATATCATAATATCACTACGTAAAAAGAAATAGATTGTATGAAAAGTATTGATAATGGTTGTGACCAGTGCCACCTACCAATGCCTACAAAATATAGAGTTGTACATGGTTAAATTTTAAATAAGCATTTATTCTTATTTCATTGAAAAATCCCCATGTTTTTTTTATGATGTTTAAATATAGCGTTCAACTGCACTATTGGCTGTTAGTTTCCGGATGGGTGACCATATAGAAATTTAACACTAACACACCCCTTACTAGTTCCTTGCTCAGGTCGATAGTCGTTACACAATCATTGTAAGATATAGACGACCTCAAACAGTTGGAATTGATGCTAAGGAAATAATGATGATTTTTTTTTTCAAAATATTTATTTGAGATAATCTTACAGTCTTAGAGTTGTATTTGCATAGTTTGTATTTTCAATACAAGACTTGATATCCAATTATGGGGATGTGCTAGCCACTTCATAAAGTAACTTTTTGTTTTCTATTGATAGTTGTGGTCTATTATTTTTCTTTTTTTTAATATGTTTTATTTTCATTTAGACGAGAGAACTTCAGTTTAGTCTAAATGGATGCCTACGTATTTACCTGACTTTTCTTGTTGAGTTATTTTACCATCAAGAATTTTCGGATTAAAGTTGGTCACTTTAGTTCACGTGAACTATATAATAGTATTTTTCAAATGATGATGAATGACGTTTAAACATTAAATTGGTATTTTTTAAATTTAGATTAAAATCACCCTTACTCCTGCTAAACTTTCTTAGTATCCAAAGTTGTTATGTCAGTGAATTTCATATTTATATAAAGGATAAGCTGATTTTTATTAATTGTTAATATTATAATGTATTGTACTTCCAAACCAAAAATATCATCACCCCAAAATTTACCAATTACTCACAGTTGCATTCATGTGATTTTTTCATGAGAATGGATGAAAAACTTTTATTGTAAAAATCATCCAGGGTACTATACTCCAGGGCTATTTTATTTATATTACTATATCAAGATGTTATTATGAACTATTTAATATGTATTAATGCCTTATCTCTTATTAAGTCTATTTCAAATATTTAATTTATTTTACAATAACACTTCATGGAATTTAACACTTACGTATAAATTTTCTCGAAGATTTGAAATTTAATAACCGAAATTAGTAGAGTTACTAATTTTTTCATATTAATTATGCTCATTAACTTTTAAATTAAGTTATCATAAAAAAATGTCCAAAATATGAAATATATTTTATGGAAATTGTACAAAAATATCAAAAACGGTATGTCAATGTGGGGAGATCTATCTCCATAATCCCCTCCCATTTGACCGCCACTGCAATAGATGAGTAATTTACTCATAGACGATTTGTGGATGTCAATATTGACTTTCTATTTTCATTGAGAAAAATTTGTATGTAATTAATGTTGTTTTACATGGCTGTTCTATTGTAAATTTAGCGCCGCTTTATCTCACCTCAATATACCAAATAGAAAAGGTGTTATCATCTTCATTGTAGTCTTAATCAATAATAATGAATCTGCCGGCTATCTTCTCAATAATTGTCGGCAGATGGGGCCGCTTATTATTTGTATTGTGTAAAGCGCGAGTACAAAGCGATGTGTCGGTCAATTCAAAGTCGGCTGTGCCGTTAGAATATGTACAATACACGTAAACAAACTATATGACGACTGTCATGGCGTGTGTGTACGTAAAAAGAGATAATTCCTATAATTTTTGCCTGGAAGCCGTGACTACTAGGTTGCATAGATTGGGCGGTGGCGGCTTACGCCTTTATTCAAATCAACGATGAAGACGTTTGTGTGTACAATATAATACGAGTCTGACGGCAATATAAAATTATTATTTTCATTGTGTAAAATGACTCGACAAATATTATTTTTATACACATATGCGGTCCACCGTCATTAGGCCGGCATTATACGTACGCTGTAAAAAATATTGTTATCTCGCGCCGAATCGACTCCGATCGATGCACCCGCGCGCGTTGGGTTGCCTTGCACGGGAGCCCGACGACAGGTCAAGTGTAAATTACAGGGCGCCTCTGTCATTTTTTTCTATGCTCACAATACGATTATAATGACGATAGTTGTTCTCGATTGTTGTGATTATTATTATTATGCCTCTGTAAAATAAGACCGGCATTATAATCGCGGAAAAGGTGTGTTTCGTCTTCGTTCGTTAAATTATGACAGCAGAAGCATATCCACACCCATTTCATCGGCAGCTATCAACAAATAAAACTGTTTAATAATTTAACCCTAAATTTAAATCCAAAAAATAAACTAAAATTCCACCGTCGACTCGGCAATTCTTTGAAAAAGTTAAACAATCATTTATTTACTACTGTCACTTTAATTAAAAAAATGTTAACTTTCCAGATTAAAGAAAAAAAAATTATTAAATATAAATATAATTTTATACGTATATATTATTAAAGATAAGAAACAAACGGTTAATACCTGAGAGATATTAATAATACACATTTTTTTTATTGTCTCCAACCATAAAATATAAATGAATAGGCTAGGAACAATAGACCTTTCACGTATATAATTTTAAAGCCAATTTGTCTTACTGTGAAAACATTAGTGTAGCACTATAAATTATTTATTTATTTATTTTTTTTATTGTAAAAATTATGTTTTGAACCATCTCTGGCTTATTAATTAAATACATTTCATGACACCGTGTACTTTTCATTATTTAATAAATAAGAATAAAAATTAATAAAATGACGGGTCATTAACAACTTCGGGACCAATACTTCAAAAGTTATTAATAGAGGTAGGAATTATGTACATTTATAAATTTTGTTTTAAATTTTTTAGTTATAATTGCTTCGAAAATTTTGCAAAAAGCCAATAATTTAAAACATTATATCTGTCCCTCACTTATAAATCGACGTAATTAAAGATTTTTTCCAAATATCAAGGAAGTATCTTAGACTTATAGACTTATTAAAAATGAGATTTAAAGGTTATACTAGTATTGAGCAACACAATTTTAGAAACACTGATGGAACACCATCAGGACCGGTACCCTCATGCGTATCCAAGCTATATATTAAATCAAAAATTTAAATTTGATCATTAGCCCAAGAACTAAGATTAACATTAATATTATTCATTGAAGCAACATTTAAAATTTGGAAATGTATGTTAAGATTCATCGATTCAGCCACATAAACGATAGAAAAATAATTAGCAAATAGTTGGATAATTTCAGAAATATTACTAGATGAGATGTTGTCATACTTAACACAATAGGGTACATTACTATTTGATTCTCTAAGGGACTTAACATATTTCCAAAAAGATTTTATATTTAATTAAATACTATTTTCAATGTTAATAATATATTAAGAATGACAGCTTAAAATAAGATATTTGCATTTTTTCCGAAGATGAGAAAATATCAAATAATTTTCATGGGAAGGGCAAAGTTTATACTTTTTGTGTGCACAATATTTATCTATAGTACGCTCCCTAAGCTCAAAATTTGCCCAAACCGGGAAGTAATTACCATGTTTTAGTTTTGGAAACAAAAACAAAAAAAGAGTGATAAATAATTTCATAAAACATTTCAACGAATGCCTCAAAAGATAAATTATTATTTAAATTTAGTTCAAAGTTAGTTTTTGAATGAAAACGAGAAATATCCTTAAAATTACAGTTATTAAAATTATATACCTGAAGAGACTCAGTGTTTATAGTCTCCGATAAATCATCAAATTTTATATTAAGTTGTAAGAGAGGATGATACTTATCAATCATTGGAATAAGAGATTTAAATTAACGAATAATATAAGTAAGTTCTACACAGCACTAAGCCATATACAGTCAAAAGTACGACCTATACTATTCTGAATACAGTTCACTTGATTAAAATTTAAAAAATTAGCTTTCAAAATTTTGACACCTATGTGTTAAAATGTCACTACTTGTATGAAAAATTAACGTGTATACTTAAAATATCATACTTATATACAATAACATATATCGGTATAAGGTTAATGTAAAAAATAGTTTTTAAAAATAAAAAAAAATAGAAAATAAACGTTAACCGCTTTAAACCGATTATGGTTTTTTCGGTTACCGGTAAATATTAATAGAGTTAATAATAAAAAACATTTTAAAGTACTTATTTTCATATAAAAAAAGACAAAAAAATTAGGGACTATTCATAAGACAATTTTTACTACCCCCCTCCAAGTGTATCTACAACACATAACTATTTTATTTATAGTGGGTTGATATCAAAATTACTACTGTAATAGTAATAACATATAGTGGTGTAGTTAGATTTTTGTTGTAAGGAAATGTACACAAAAAAATTTTTTTCTACTCCCCTAAACGAAAAGAATTGTATGATTATAATGTAATCATTTTTATTCTAGGGAAATTTATCACCCCTTTAATAAACTTCCGTTTTTATTACATATTGTATGAATGCTTACTACTTAATAGCATGAGTGTAAAAATGCATTTTCAATTCCAAACAAACTTTAAAAAATTTATTTCAATATTATTATTATTTTTTTTTTTTCAGAAATCAATTTATCATTTTGGTACTGAACCTGTTAATTTAAAATAGTTTAAAAGAACAATTCTCTAATATGTTGGTTATTGGATATCAGTTAATAATTTTAAAAACATAGCACAGTGGGGTCGCGACACAGTGCGGACATGACACAGGAGGGACAAGTATAGATGATATCTGACAGTGATTAAAATCACTATCATAAGTAACGCTTCGATGCAAGTCTGTAGATAGTATTTAATTCTAAGAAATTGGTAGATAATTACAAAAGCAACATCAACTCACATTGCCTTAATTATATCCAGATTAGTAATTCTTAGATTTAAAAGTATACTTTATGAATAAATACTAATTATAGTAATTAAATTTAGTATGGAATTGATATTCGATAATTAATTATTGTTATTTTTACAGAGAAATTATAAAAATAGTAGTTGTATATTTCTTTACTTTTAATGCGTATAAAAGTTTAAAGAGCTTGATGCAATACTTTGCAATAATAATTTTTTGTTACTTATAAATAAATATACTGAACTACAAGGAACTTTTATCAAAAGCACTAATATACTTTTCTAAATCAACTTATTGAACTGTTTTCAAATTTGCAATTAGACTTTTCTATGACTTCTAATTTTTGATATTATTACTAATTAGTAATAAATAAGTATTTACATGTAAATAAAATTATAAAAAAAAAAAATTTGTTTTCAAATTATTACTGATTTTTAATAATTGTTAAAAATAATCAGTGCAAAATGACATTTGTAACATATTGTTTTGGTCCTTTAAAATTGTATTTATGAAAGTTTATTATAAAAAAAAAGTTGAATTTGTTATCATAACTTTTAGCCCAACTTGCAAGTTTGAAATTTACATCGATAAATAGACAATTTTATGAGAATTAAAAAAATGATATTGTTAAGATTAATATGCAGTCAGGAAATTTTATAATTACTATTTACAGTAAATTGTTTAAAACGATTCTACAATTGAAATATAAAGAACTGAATTAATTTTAATGATTTACTTTAACGAAAATAAAACAATCAAAATGTTAAAAATATTTACTCAACTGAGTGTTATATAAACTTTTTGAAAATTGTAGAAATGCATTATTAAATTCAGGTGAAACTAAAAATAATTATTTTAGAAATGATTAACATAGCAACATGTCACCAAAAATTTAAAATATTAATGACTGGTAATAACACACACAAATAGAGTTAAACAATTAATAGACTACCAAGTAAAATTATTTAAACTTTTTTAGCAATAATGTATAAATAAGTTTAACTTTCTATACTATGTCATTTATAAAAAAAATTATATTGATTTGTTCATTTTTAAAAAAGTTATGGTAGTTTAAGAAAAAAGAATTTAAAAAATGTCAAAAATTACCGTTTTTTTAAATTGTTAATTTTTGAGGGATTTTTCTCATTTACAAAAAGCGAAGGAATTTTTTTCAATTTATGAGGGTAATGTCTTCGACTAGATACAATTTGACGTATTGTTCATTAAAATCGGCCCAGGAGAGTTAAGATTAAGTGATAACAGACACAAAATAAATAAATAAAAAAACACATAGTAAAATAATATCTTCTCAGCTTCGAAGCTAAAAATATAAGTTTGTCGATAACAGATTAGAGTTAGTTAGTTTAACTAACAGATTAGTTTTTTTATATATTTATAATATATAAATTATAATATATAAAATTTTTTATATTTTATATATCTATTTTTTATATTATCAAATTACTCAATAATTGTTTTGAATTTTTAATAACTAATATTAACTTTAGTTAAATATTAAACCCACTTTTTTTAATAGCTCGTTTTAATTACATTTTTTTTCATTTATTTAATCAAAGCTATTTCAAATATAATGTTATTTATGAGGCACTTAGATTCTCGATTAAAAACAAAAAGTCAAACGTTGATCTGTTTACAATTAAAATAAAACTATATAATTATATTCTATTAAAAAGTTGGGATAACATGACTATTTTAAATAGACAAATGTGCAAAATAATATCTAAATATAATTTTTAATAGTTCAGAACACATTTAAATTTTTAATATAAAGTATAAGTAACCTTAAATTACTTAAATTACTCAAATTAAAATATTTTACAGATAGAATATCATTTATAACTTTTCTAAATCATGACTAATAAATCATATTTACTAAAGTGTTTTGCTCTTTTATATTTGATACAAATTTCAACAGAAGATACTATTGCAGACGATTTTAAAAAATATGTTATTGAATCATTAAATTACATTCGTGAACAAACTGGTTGGAAGTCTTTGAAAAATATACAATTTAAACAAGGTGATTACACATCTAACATCGACAACTTTACCAGTGAACTAATAGATGAAAATAATTATCTTATAAAACTTAATTATATGACTCATCTTGTAAACTGTAAATACACTAAAAAAATACAAAAATTTAACTATTTTTTAAGTCTAATTTTAGATAAATGTGAAACATTTTTAAATAGAAAAAAAGATTTTGAATTTGAATTTTGTGTGAATCATGTGTTTGAAATTATAAATAATTCGAAAATGATGTTTCTTAAATTATTAGATGTAACCAAGTATATTGACAAGATAGATCTACGAATAATAAATCCACTTACACTTAGTCTTAAACCTATAAACATTGAAGTAGAATATTTATTCAAGGCTGATGTAATGAAGATTAAAAAAAAGTCAAAACGAGATTGCCAAAAAACCTTGCCTAAAAGTAAAGTTCTCTATACTTTCCAAAAAATTAGAGATTTTAGTACAGATATTTTACAAATGGTATTAATCCTCTATAAAAATAGAGAGGTATGTGGTCCCTTTAATGAAAATTTAATTAATATGGAATCATCAAATGAAAATGGTATACAAGAATTAATTAAATCGTTTAATGATCTCAAAAATTATGATCAGGATATTCTAGTTTATTTCAATTCTTACTATAAACAAGTCGTTGATAGTTGTTACTTGCAACTAGGCTTCGAACAATTAATAGGGACTAATAATTTCAAGTAAGATTCATATTTATTGATGAAAAAATCTATTAATTAAAGTGTCTTAAATTTATTATACTTATATATTCTAACAAAATTATACAAGCTAACAAATTTTTTTTTATTCGTGAAGTAATGTTTATTGAAAAATATTCCGTTGAGTTAAAAGCTTGATAATAAACAATTTAAAATGTATGTCTGTATTAACTAAATATGCTACTAACTAAAATTAAAATTTTCCATGCTATTTCTGATAATAAAAATTTTTATATACACTCTCTACTACAATCGACCATTTGCTGCCTTCAATATAGCAAAGGACGTATTTTGAAAATTATAATGGGAAGGGCACAAATATTTGTTTTTTTTATATATATATATAAGGTACCTACCATTAATTTAGATAACATTTTTATTGTTCCTAAGTGTTTTCTGTTAAGGTCGTTGTACAAAAATTTAATAAAGAAACCACAAAAATACCACAAAGTTGATTTTTTTAAATTAGCCTCTAAATTTCTCTTAGATTAATAATTACACTAAGAAAATTGTTTTCAGAATTGTTAAATTTAATATACTTCTTGTTTTTTCAACTATTAAATATTTTTTAATTCTTTCCTTATACCTCATAATAGCAGCACACATTTTTAATTATCGTATAACAAAAAAACGGTAATGCGTGGGGTCACAGCACACTATGGACAAGATGATATCTAACAGTGATTAAAATCACTATTCTTAAGAAACGCTTTGATGCAAATCTGTAGATAATGTTTAATTTTATGAAATCGTTAAAGTTAAAGTTAACATTCTTAAGGTTAAAAAAGTAACTTGTGACATTAAAAGTTAAATTTACCAACAAAATTGCGTGATTCCTAACTATATTATATTAATTTAATATTATAGCTTTTTAACAGATTAATGTTCTGACTTACATTTCAGAATAGATATTTATGACTTTAATACAATATCTTTGTAACATATCTGATTTTGAATAAGTTTACAAAACTTTTTATCACATACATAGGGATGGATTTTTTTTGTTAAAAAATTACAATAAAATTATTAAAGGGCAGATTAATTTTTTTACCTTAAAAGTTTCAAATCCCATAAAGCGTCATCAAAATTTTTAATTTGTATTTAGTCTTCAAAAAAATTGCTAAGATAGACATATTAATTTTTTGAAAATAACAACTATTTTAAAAATCAATTAATCATCATTTTATATTATTTATACTTAAAAATGTTAATATATCTTTTGATACAAACATGTTTTTATACTTTTAGTAAATTGAAGTGACATACATATGTTCAGTAAGTAAAAAAACAGGTTAATTGTTACAAATTGTTAAATGAGATCAATTGAAACCCATTTCTTTACTTACTGAACACTTAATATAAATGATGTAATACTTTAATTTTACATAAGATAAATACTTATATCAATATACTATTAAAAAGTTTTGTGGATCTCTTTGTTCGTAAAATAGCAAGTACTAAATATAATTTATAGACGAACCGTATACTAGCATGTTTTATATTATAATTATTTATAAAATAATTATCTTAAAGTAGAAAATTAGATAATTTTTTTTTTAATTATATAGTACAAATAAAAAATCAATTACAATTTTTAATTTAAAAAAAGTGTTTAAAGTATTACTGAGTAACTGCATTATCTGTAATCTTGTAGTGTATTAAATTTTTATTGTAATGATCTATTTTATAATTTTATTATTTTATCAACAGATATAATCATTGTTCGAGTAACATCTATTATTTGAAAGATGGCGTTCGTATATATAACTTTTTACTTTCTCACAGCGGTTGGAAATCTTGGAAACACCTTAGTGTAATAAATTACTTTACTAAAAAAGTATTAATAGATAATGAACCAATACATTATACTGACATAATTGGCCAAGTAAATAAAGCTAACTATTCAGTTATACGGACAAGTACTGTTCAAGTTTTAAGATGTCGCTACCTGGAAATAATTGAACATTTTAAAAATATGTTGGACACCGTAGTAAAGATTAGCGAAAACGAAGATAAAATCGATTGTGCGATAAATATCTATGAAACAATTTTTAAATCTGATGGAATGTTTAAAAATTTCTTGTTTGCTTTATGTACATTAAGACATACGGCAAGAGATAAAATTAATCGCATTGATTCAACTTCCTTAGAGAAACTGATCGAACTTTATAGAAATTTTATTTATGACGTCAAAAGAAAATACAATTCAACAAATGTATTTGTTTACAATAAACTAAACGAAGCCACATTATTCATTAATGACATAAAGTGTGCTCATATTACAAATTTAAGTAATGCATTTATAACAGCAGAAAGATATATTAGAACAACTTGTAAAATCAATAAAGAACTTTCTGATATGGGTCATTTAATGGATAGATTTATGGAATTAAATAAATCTAGTAATTTAATAAAAAATGGTAATATTCATAAATCTATGTGTAAGTTTTTAAATTTTTTTATCGAAAAAATGACAAAAGAAAACTATGACAATTTAGGCTTTAATAATATTAATAAAATTATTCTATAAAAACCAAATTTTTTTTGTAATCTTAACTTTTCTTCATTGTTTCAATATAATTATATTTTTATTAATTTGTTAATTTTAGTTTTGATTCACACTGAGAAGGTATTGGTTTTACTATGACGTGTTCATTTTAATTTAATTAATTATTTTTTTTGAAGCAATTAAATTTGAATAAAATATTCTAAATACAATAAGCTTTCTTTTAATATACTTTTTATAATAATCCAAAAAAAACCTAAGTATAAGAAGAGTTTGAAAAAAATTACCAAAGCAATAAACATTTTTTTTTCTACTTATTTTTTGGAACGTCATATTTGGAAAGTGTATATAATATTAAATAAAAAATTTAGAATTGTTCAAATATAAGAAATCGAACACCAATAAAATAATTCGAAATTTCTAGAAAACAATTAGATTAATGTTCAAATGAAATGTTAAAATATAACAATTGTTAAATTAAAAATATAAAAATTATTGTGGAATCTAACAGACACATCAAAAAAAAAAAAGATTTTTATGATGTGTTTTTAATTATTGCCAGATGTCATATATACTTGTTTCAATGATGTTACGTTCCCCCACTGTGTGGGTTTTTAATTTTTTATTATACTTTAAGACTATGAAAATGTCACCAGAAATAATATTTTATTAATTCCTTAAAATAAAGTTATTCAAATTGTAAAAAAAACCAAGATAGCCATTATTTAGAGTAAATTTTAAGAATAATTTTGTAAAAAAATATCTTATTAATATTCAGTAGTAAATTCGTGTTAATATTTTAAAATTGTGAATATTTGAACTTTGATGTGTTTAAGTTGTCATTAATGTTTGTCACTGTAAGAAATATTTATTACTATATTATTATCACTTGTATTATACAAGCTTTTTTCATTTACTCAATAAAAATAATTGTTAATTAGCATAGAGGAAGATTTTTACATGATAAATATACTCATCTGTGGCTCAAAGCTACTAATGTCGAACTAATATAAAACAGTTGTATTTGAGCGGCTGTTATAGATATAGTTTTCTTTATTATCGCTTTTATATTTTAACTTTGATGCAAAGCTAAAAGGTTTTAATTTTACTATGATGTGTTTTTTTTTTGTGTCTGTTACCACTTTTTCTCAGCTCTCGACGAATCGATTTTTTTCAACGATACGTCAAAAAATCACAAATAGTATCTAGTCGAAGATATTACCCTCAAAAATTGAAAAATTTTCCCTCGTTCCCCGTAAATGGAGGAAACCTCCAAAAAAATTACAAATTGAAAAATCGCTAATTTTTTCAATTTTTTTTACTTAAAACTGCCATAACTTTTTCAAAAATGAACAAATCAATAGAATTTTTTTTTATAGATGCATAATGTCTTTACCATTTGATGTATTTTTTTTATAAATTTGACCCTTTACCTGCCCAGAGGGAGAGATTCAAAATGACAACTTTTTCACAAAAAATTAACTTTTGAAAGTGTTTCGGAAATATTGACACTATTATATATACTTTAAATTAAAGCTTATGTAATATACTTTATTACGGAAAAAAGAAATTTCAAACTTTATTTTGTTTTCATGGTGAAAACAGTCATCAAAGTTAATAAAAAAATATACGATTTTTTTAAAAAATTCTTTTTTATATTTTTAACTTTATAACGCTATAACTTTTTGAAAAATGTATGGATCAATACAATTTTTTTATGAGAAATAATATTTATATACCTTTTTAATTTGATATATTTTTTTTAAATCGGACCAGTTCCCTTAATACAATGGGGTTCAAATCTTTAAAATGCATATAGATAGAAAAACTTTATTAAAAACTTTATTTAAACTTAATTTTAACGAATCATTAGTTTTAATTACATCTAATTTTTACAACTTTTAAGCTGATAAAGTTGATCGAACTGATAAAACCAATGAAATGATTAAAATTACAATTTTTACAAAAATACACGTTTATTATAGGGAAATTCTATGTGCAAGGCTCAAATGCAATCTGACCNTACAAAAATACACGTTTATTATAGGGAAATTCTATGTGCAGGGCTCAAATGCAATCTGACGCAAAATTTTTTTTTTTGTAATTGTAGCTTAAGAGTTCTTCTACAACATGCATGTATTGGTGTAATCGTAATATTGCGTAATTTTGAGTTAAACTCTTTAAAAAACAATGTAAAATAAGTATTTGCATTTTTTTGTGTGTAAAAAATTATTAAATTTAAAAAAAAAAAGAAATAAAAATTTTTTCTTAGTAAATTTGAAAGCCGATGACTTTTTAAACATTTTAAATTAAAAAAAAAAAATTAAGGTTTTTAATTAAGCAGGAAAAAATGATTGAAGAAATAATAAAAATCCTAGAAAAAAAACAAAAAAATACAGTGTTATGATATTTAAATAGCACCCAACCATTACTATATCAATTTTTGGCCTTGAATTTTTGTACATGACTTTATAAGGATATAATAAAAAAAATTTGCTAAAAAAAAAATTTTTATTAGTTGATTTAAAAATGGTACTTTTGGCCGGCTAAATCAGCGTTTGGTCCCTCTGTGAGACGTACGGTTTCTGAGACGGTAACACTTGGGTTTTTCACGCCTGTGGCACTGAATTTTTTCTTAATTCTTTTTGAGTTAGAATAAAATGTTTAACTCATTTGATTTTTATCTCATTTAGATTCAATAACTTCAATAAATATCAAGGATCCCATAATTGTAGTCTCCTCTCGTGAGAAGAAATTCATATTAATATTATTTTATTATGTAGTTTTTTTTGTAGCTATAATTTATTTTCTCAGCTCTCACTAAACCTACTTTTTTGACAATTTTTTTTTTTAAGTAAACACTATTTACAGATTTGCATCGAAGCGTTTTTTATGATAGTGATTTTAATCACTGTCAGATATCATCTATACTGGACCAAAATATGCCACGACTCCACTGTACTGGGTTTTTCTTAATAAAACCATTATAAAAATATATTTATTTATATAAATTATAAAACTTGTAATCAGGATATAAATAAGGAAATAAGATTTTGAAATAATCCAACAATTTTTTAAAATTAAACACTATTTGCGAATTTGCATTGAAGCGTTTTTTATGATTGTGATTTTAATCACTATCAGATATCATTATACTTGACCCAACTATGCCATGTCCCCACTGTGCTGGGTTTTTTTTATTTTGTTAATAATTTAATTTAATTTTTCAATGACTCGTCTATTGCCAATTCCATCATTACCAACAACTCCGCTCACTTGGGTATTCTAAGTATTAACCAACTGTACTAGGATTCAAGTCAAACGTATTGTACATTGCTTATAACTTATATTTACTGAAAATTTAAAAATGACTTAATTTGTCGTTGACATAAATATAATATAATTGTTTACCTTTATTACATAAAGTGTTTAGTAATTAAAGAAACGGGTTTTTATGATTCTCATTGTTAGTAACAATTGATCTGTTTCCTTATTATTTGAACATTCTGTATAATATTTATAATAATACAGAATTTATTAACACTTTAAAGTAATAAATGGAGGTAAAAAGTGGGCGCTGCTATTTTTACCACTTGTTATTTCCTGGTCATACTCTTTGTCTCGCTTAGGTATAAAAATGAGAACAACTTCCGAAGTGCTGGTTCATGTGTATGTTACCATTCAAAAAAATAAAGTTGAAACCACTTTAAATTATAAGGGATGATTCTAAAAAGACATTATTAGCTGATAAATCAATAAATTCAATTAACTAAAGTAATCAAAAAAATCTTTCAATATTGTATTTATTTTGAGAGTAATAGAGTGGTTTATTATAAACTTATCACTCTGTATACAGGTGGCCCACCACTCACTGACAACTTAAATAACTTTTGATCCAGTTAATATTTTTAGTTGATTTTTTTTTTAAATAGTAGTTATACGTTAGGTCCATAGGTATATCTCAATAATTAATTTTTTTATATTTTATTAAAAATATTAATTATTTTAAAATTTTAAATAAAATGTAAAAAAAAAAAATCTAAGATAGCTATTTTGTAGAGTAGAATTTAAGAAAAATTTTAGTAAAAAAATATCTTATTAATATTCAATAGTAAATATTCTGTAGCGTTTTGAAGTTTGTACAAATTTGAATTTTCATGTACTATTTTACGGTTACAAACATTGAAATACGTATTGAGAAAAGGACAGAAGAAAACGCTATCTTTTCATGATTACTGTGTATACATATGATGATAGTGTGTATACATTACAAACTTGGCATAAATACCATGATAAGAAATTAGATAAGGCAATTATTACTTATCACTCTCATTCAAAAGTATATTGAAAAGATAGCGTTTTCTCAATACGTATTTCAATGTTTAATACCGTAAAATAGTACATGAAAATTCAAAATTTCACAAACTTCAAAACGCTACAGAATATTTACTACTGAATATTAATAAGATATTTTTTTACTAAAATTTTTCTTAAATTCTACTCTACAAAATAGCTATCTTAGATTTTTTTTTTACTTTTTATTTAAAATTTTAAAATAATTAATATTTTTAATAAAATGTAAAAAAATTAATTATTGAGATATAGCTATAGACCTAACGTCTAACTAATATTTTAAAAAAATATCAGCTAAAAATATTAACTGGATCAAAAGTTATTTAAGTTGTCAGTGAGTGGTGGGCCACCCTGTATATACAAATATGAATAATTAAAACAAACTAATTCGACAAAAAAAATTGTATTTATTTTTTTCGTTATAAATTTATTATTTATGTATAATATGATATTTTTAATTCCATAACATATTAAAAATACTCAATCATAAATGACCTATTTTTTTTATGAATTATTATCTTATCAAACACATTATACTGGAAATTAAATAATATCAAATAATTAGAATTTTTAAAAAAATTTTATAATTAAGTTATTTATTGAAAATACGTTAATTAATCATTAAATGTATAAAAGATAAATCAAGTTAAAATCAATTTTATGAAAAATTTCAATATCTCCGTTAAGCTTAAAAGATTAACATAATTTAACCCTAACTTATTAAATCATTATTCAC